AGACGGTGTGATGTTTGATACTTCGGTTGTAGCAGAGACTCTGGCATCACTTGGCCTGGCAGCATGTGGCTCCAACGCAGTATGTGTGTGTGCGTGTGTGTGTGTGTGTGTGTGTGCGTGTGTGTGTGTGTGTGTGTGTGCGTGTGTGTGTGTGTGTGTGTGTGCACGCAAGGGAGCGGGGGGTCTTTTTTATTTTAGAGCCTTTGAAGATGAAGATATGACATGTTCATCCATGTGCTGGAGCCAGGGCTTCTTCCTGGATTTCTGACTGATTCTCTCCTTAGATCAACAGGATGAACCCACATCTGGATGGCACTACAGGAGGCACAGATCCATACACTGTCCAGTAACATCTGCGCACACACAAACACACACACATGCACGTTCCCCTCTGTCCTTCAACTCCAGAGTGTTATTTTTTTATACCACATGCTTGAGCTTCTCCAAACACGTACACATGATCAGATTGCCATTTGTCATTTGCGCAGCTGCATAATTCATGCTGTGGTCCAGAGTGAGGTCTCCCAGGGTGCTCACCACCTGAAACAGCTGAGCTGCACTCCACTCATTACTAAGTGTCCATCAAGGTCTCATCTTGTATCTCGATTGGACAAACCTGGTTAAATAATCATGTGAAAAAGGCAGATGGAAACATGGATAACTGCCTAATTATAAACCCTGAAGAATATTGTAAGGATGACGGTGGTGTAAATATGTGGTGTTGGGTTTAATTCTCTTTGTTGTGTGGTTACTTAGAAACTCTGTGGTAAAAGTTTAGAAATAATTCTACTTTAGCAGAATCAGATAAAAAGTAATTCTATCCTCCTCTAGGGACATCTCAGTTTCCACATGCAAAGAATTAATGTTGGGTTTAATTCTCTTTGTTGTGTGGATACTTAGAAACTAAAAGTTTAGAAATAATTCTACTTTAGCAGAATCAGATAAAAAGTAATTCTATCCTCCTCTAGGGACATCTCAGTTTCCACATGCAAAGAATTAATAGCCACACACACACATACACACACACACACAAAAGTACCTGACTAAGGTCTACAGTACTTCAGAGCAGACAACAGAACTCTTTAACTCTGCTGCTCGACAAATAAAACCTTATTTATGATGACAGGATTATTAGGGAATGTCACTGTAGTATAATTACATTATCTACTAGCTAAAGTAAAGGGTATTTTTTAAAGTAATACTGCATTTACTGAGCAGATTCATTAATCCAGCTAATGGATGATTGATGTTCCAGTTTCTTCTCACAGTATATATTTGCTTAGTAGATGACTGAAAAATAACGTTCTTCTAGACCTTTCTCTTGTGTTTGGATATTTTTGTCAGATTTGAACAGTGCCAGATTTCAACTATTGCATTATCGGACTAGCAGTAAACAGTACAGACCCAGTTTACAGTGACGTACATCAACACAATAGCATATACCAAAGGTTTTATTGATAGCCCACATGCCGTTATTTACATTTTTCATCACCAGGAACTACTTTATGGCATTCACCGTCACACGTCATGTCTTCAGTTGATTGGTTCTAAAGAGGCTTAGATGAGACTTGATGATGATGATGATGATACATGAAAAGTGTAGTATGTATGAGTAAGACCCAAATACTTTTGTGCCATTTAACTCATTCATCTAATGAAGGCATCACATTAGTCTAAAATGTTTTTTAAAAAATCATTGAAATACAACATTTATCATACATCTGGGAAATAATTTATATCTGGAAACATAAATGATAAACATAGATCATTGATAAAGGGATATCTTCAGGAGGACTTTTCCATCATTTTCCATGAGAATTTAGTTTAAAGTTTCAATATCAATAATAATCTGATTTACCATGTTGATGCAATTCCCCACAGGTCTATTACCAAATTAAACCACCTTATGTAGGTCACTATGCCTCCTTGAACCAACAGGAATTCACACCCACCATTTTGCGCATACATACGTACAGTGTATACATACATTAACACTAACGACAGGAGGGGTGGGGGAGAAGGGGAGAGAAACAGAGAGGGAGAGCTGTGGAGGAAGCAGGAGACGACACTAACCTCTTTATGTCATTCAGATTTAATCAATGCAAAGAAAAAATGTACTGTACTGCGACAAACAAAAAAGAGCACAACAAGGAAATACTTCTTCTTGTGTTACTGGCAAAATTAAGTTATTTAGTTATATTTTAAAGACAATGGCACCAAACCACATTAAAATAAATATTAATAAAGTATAAATAAGTCAATTTAAAAGCCAAGCAAAGCCATCTTGTGATAATGTCTTTTGTATCATGTGTGTTTGTCTCTGAGTCGCTATGACATCTTCGTTCCATTTTGATCCATCCAACCTTCACTGAAGGACAAACTGGCCAAGGGATAGAAACTGAAGGAAACACAGTCAAGAGTGAAATCTTCTGTGAGGACCTCCTTGAGATGTCCTTATCAACTATTCAACTAAATAAGAGCAAACTGGGACAGACGTGTATTTTTACATAAGCAGAACCACTCAAAGGCAAAGAGCACCGGGTCCATAAATAGAAGCTGGAGGCACGCTGTTACTAAACGCTGTTCACTTTCATGACGGACATCTGCTGCTCATAGGTGTATACATAAATAATGGAACAGTGAAGCTGGGCTGTAAAGCACCATGAACTCAGCCCTGTCCCCCACAGGCTTTAAGGCTCTCTGCTGCCTGGAGCCTCTCTTTAAGAGCTTTGCTGCTAATGTAAGCAGACTGGGGACCGTCCTCTTTGATGACCCAGGTATGTTTCAGTGTTTATATTCCCCATTTATAGACCTGTTAGAGTCAGGTTACATTACCTAAAACCTAATCCAAACAATAATTTTGACAATGGAAAACACTATTATAGTTTATGATTAGATTCTCATTTAAAATCCAGGAAAACCCATTTCCCTGTATTCTTCTTCATCCTTTTTTCCCCTCTTGCTGATATCCTCTACGACAACACCAGTTTAGGATTAGAGCAAACAGATGGTATTAGGTCCATCATTGATAAAACAGACACAAAATCAACCAACCGTTATCTGCCTCTGCCCTGTGGGCTTTTGGCTATGATGGGGAATGAAATCTAAGCTACAGAGCAGTGAAGAAACTCACAGTGACAGTGAGTGGGAAACAGTGTGTGACCTACCTAGAAGCAGCAATCAATGGCGGAAACAGGAGCAGAAGGAGGATGTTTTTCTCAATGTCTAATCAGTGCCTTCTGGAGCTAAGGCAGACAGCAGTCGTTTACCACACTTCCATTCCCACTTCTTCAATGGTTTTTAATTATAACCGGCATTGTTTAAGTGGGGTTTTACTTTCTGAATTCATCCTGAACTGTACAGTAACTTTTCATAACAATTCATAAATTAAATGTCTCAAAGACAAGTGCATGTAGCAAAATAAATGGAATGAATCTACACAGAAAAAAACAGTCACAGTTTTAAAAAAAACTTCACTATGTAATAAAAACCAACCATATTGTATATATTTTTAATTTTTCCACTGGGTCATAACCTGACATCCTGCAGTTCAGAACTGGCATTATCTTATTTGTCATTAACTCACCCTGTAATATACCACCCTTTGTTTACAACTGATTTTCATAAGATTTCAAGACCATTGAATCCTTCTTCTGTACTTCCTGTTTCTGTATGGACAGCACAGACACTCTCTGTGTTAGGGTTGGCTTTATCTCAAGAAGAGAGCTTAGTTGCTAGTAGCTGCTTGGAGCTTAAATGTCTGTGGGAACAAACGACACAGTGAGCTCCTCTCCTCTCCTCTCTTCTATTCTCCTCTCCTTTCACCATGCCTGCTTCTTCTTCTCTCCCCTCCCTCCTTTTCCTCTACTCTCTTTTTTCTCAACCTTCTTTCCTCTTCTCATCCTCCATTCCTACTTTCTTTCTCTCTTAGAATACACTAAATAAAGATCATTTCACAGTGCAAGAACTGTTTACTTTCAAACATAAATCCTTATTACTTTAGAGATGGTTAAATGTCTGTGAACGTTTTTGTTTCATTTGACAGGTCGTGAAAACAACAAGAATGATGTTAATATTCATTTGTATTGTAACAAGAGCATCAAAAGCTGTTTTTCAGAAGGCTCACAATACTGGCTTGTTCATTATACAATGCAACTTCCTGTGGCGACACCATGGCTCTAAATCAACAAACAAAGTGACCAGTTCTATAAGATTCAGATTTCATTTAACTCGGAAAAAAGACAAAAAAAAAAAAAAAAACCAACTGAAACAATAAAAGTATTGAAGTTTTCATGTACATAACAGTAAAGTATTGTCATGGAAAAGATGTGTTACAATTTTTTTAGAGGCAAAGACTACTACTATTGTCTATTGTCATGGTCTGGCAGCTTATTCAATGAGCAACAAAGTACTTCGTAACGTTCCACATGACAGGCTATCTATCTATCTATCTATCTATCTATCTATCTATCTATCTATCTATCTATCTATCTATCTATCTATCTATCTATCTATCTATCTATCTGTCTATAATACATAATTTGATAATAATAATATTCATATATAGTATATTAAAGTACAAAATGTGTTCTTAATTATATATTAATATTATTAGTATTATTAATAATAATATTATAGCTACATCGTGCAAAAGACAAAATAATACGTCATTATTTCAATGCAGTACAACACAGTGGAACTAACGAAAAACATCACCATTTACAACTAAAAAAAAAACGACTTCCAATTCATGTCAGACATTAATTGTTGAAACTTCACACCTTGAGACCCTGATTTTTCACTATTATTCTCGCGTTTTAGACAGTATTATTGCTATAGTAACAAGGAACGGCTGTGCTGACGTATTAATTCTGCGACGCGTGTTGTCCACGTCACCGCAGAGAGACACTGTGTATGTGTAGTTGTCAGTTTGTTGCAGGTGATATTCATGTCGTGTCTGTAATATTTTTTCTCCTTAGCCTTATCTGAAAACCGACGACATGTTGACAGCGGAGGACTTTTTGCGATTTCCGCTCCAGATATGGGAGAAGGTGCTGTCAAAGGTAAAGAAAGCTGTTGTTTTTATGGATGACAAGTGCGCAGAGAGTCTTCACTGGAGTGGTGGAGCTGCAGCTTTACTGGAGGCAGGAGCCAGGAACATAAAACAACTGTCCAGCTTCGAAGCCTGCGCTAAGAACGAGCCTAAAGCCGTGTTTGTTGTTAGCACTTTGCTTAAGGGGAGAACGGTGGACATAATTAAAGACATCATATCCCTCAGTCACTTCCAGTACTGTGTCGTCGTCACCACTGTCCCCCACTCTGTCCACCTTCTCGCCAACAATGTGTCAGGAGACCTGGATGGAACCCCAGTGTTTGAGCAGTTTGAAGAAAAGCTGTGTGAGTGGATGGGAAATATGAACTACACAGCTGAAGTCATGCACGTCCCTGTGGTTCTCACTCCTGTATCACAACAGTTACTTCTGACCCCCACGTTTGCCCACCTTTTCCCACTGTTGTCTCATGACCTGGGAGAAATAAATGCAAAACGGCCAGAGAAGAAAAAATTTGGGAGCCTGACAGATGTAGACATGAACTCCCTTCCCGCTGAGCTACAGATTGAAATAAAGTCTTTGGCTTCAGCCTTAAACACAATGTTTGAAGCAACAGGTACCAGGGAGGAGAGCTTCGCTGTTGGACCAATGAGTCGGTTCATAGCCGCTGAGCTGGCCAATCACCATCAGGCCAAGAATCGAAGAAAAACAGCCCCTAATAAAGCCTCTGTCATCTTTGTGGACCGAACAATGGATATTACAGGTGAAGGCTCCTGTTTAGTAACTATAGCTTAAACTACAAAACGAAACATCACATGTTCATCAAACTACTGAAAACATTTATTGATACTAACAACCTGGGAATTTATTAAGTTACAAATGATATTTTGATTACTTTCAGGAGCCGTTGGTCATCATGGTGACAACCTGGCTGAGAAGATTCTGACTGTGCTCAAACCATTGCCAGGTCATGTGACGGATATACAGGTGGACATGCTGGAACTCACCACTCTACAGCGCACCCCGCACTCCCAGAACATCCTCGCACCAGGCTGTCTCGCACAAACCCAGTGAGTGAATCCTGTCCACTTACAGCTTTATATATAGTATATACAGTTTTACTGAAGACCAAATATGAGCTAATTTTAAAATCTGTAATTTGTCTTTGTGTCTGTGAAATCTTACATCTCTATTACAGTTCTGTGGTCTAAACATCTACATCTAACATAGTTTACCTCCAAGTATTGCTGTTCTACAGATTATATTCAAATTTTGCAAATAAATGCAAAACATCCCAAATGCCACTTGTGTGCAGAGCAGGCAGCATGAATCTGCACGTCCTCCATACAAAAGTCAAGCCAAATCTTGAAAAAATGTACTTGCTTTTTGTATAGTGTGTTTTGTGACTACCCCAGTTTATTGCTTCCTAATACTCTACCACTCTCCACAATATGTATGTGTTTTTATGAGGTGAAGTTGTACCAGCATCCTATGTAGGAGAGGGTTAGCATGCTGCTGGCTAACCCTAAAGCAGCAATTAGTTTGACAACTGACATTTAGTTTAATGTCCATCTTAAGTTGGACTTCTCAACTTCTCTTCAGACTTGTTGCACAAGTTAGGGGCACAGGAACCAATTTTCATCATCGTTTCAGTCACACAACTGAAGAGAAATCATGGGAAATGTTTCATGATTACTTATTGAGAGTAAAATTTTACACTAAAGAACACTTTAGTTTATGTATAAGTTTATGTATACGTTAATTAATTAAATACGTCTATCAATCCCCAAAAATATTGTAAATGGCAAGTCGCACATAGGTACCTAAGAATTGGAATCGGAAAGAAAGTGTCAGTGTCGGTGAGTCTATATCAAACACTCCTTTCTAGGATGATCATGAAGATAAAATAGTTATTTGTCTCAGCTCAGATAGTGAGGTCCCAGCAGCAGTAGTCCCAATCACTGGTCCTAAACTTCTAACCAAAGAAAACATATATAAAGTCAGTTGGGTTCTTATCAGTGAGCTTCAGATATTGTAAGTCCTATCAGTTGCTGGGTCACAAACACATGGAACTAATGCATTGGCTGCTGTGTTTGTATGGAGTATGCGTCTGATCAAGGACACTGCAGTCAGTGGCGATGTTATTGTCTCTGCTATCTCAGAACAAAGGGTTGAGTTCAGCCTTATCACAAAAGTTTAGGAGATTGAAGTGCTGCCGATGCACTGGGGAAAAAGAATCCCAGACTTCCGTCTTCATCCAAATCTATTTAAAAGTATAGCTCACATTAAAGGGTAATGTCTATTACGCTAATGTCTCCAAACCAGGACTCTTGGAGTGCTTTGTTTCTGAATGCACAAATCTCATCCTATTCAACAGAAATATCCAGAAGGAAATGTTTTTCAAAAGGACTGCGCATGATGTGAGCTGTTCAAAGCACGAGGCTCCTGGTGGTTTAGTTGTCTATATAATGAGTCCTCTCCCACTAGATGTTTATACACCTATGATTTGTCAGGTTATTTTTAGCCCAAACCCACAGTGTATTTGTGAGGTTTTGTTTTTGCGGCTGAAACCTTTAAATATTAGTTACAGAACGAAGTCAACCTCTGGATTTTTTCCTTTTGTAATCGCACGATATTTTTGTAGATTACTGTTTCCTTAGCATTATGTGGGGGTTGTTGATCCAAGCTCTGCTGACAGGACATCACACTTTCTCTGCAATTACTGTCACATTGTCTCCCAGAACCTGCCGTAAATTCCTGTATCCTATAACCTATGGACATTGGCTTTGTGGTTTTAAATAATGCTAAATAGACTTTCTGCACAAGCTAATGACACACACTTCACACGGTTAGGTTTTATGGCGTCTCTCCCTCGCAGCTAACCAGGAAGCAGTGTGCACATGTAAAAGGATGTTGAGTGAAAGTGGCAACGGCAGTGTCCTTTTGTACGCCCGCTTAAATGTCTGTGGTCAGGTTTCTTATGCAGTCCAGTCAGTATAATTTGTAGTGCTTGGCTGCACAACCCTTTTGATCTGTAGACAGACTCGTACCCCACTGGCAGAGGGCATGAAGTTTCCTTCAGTTTCAGACTGAACCCTGCACCACCATCGTCTGGCTGACTTGGACACTGATCCTGTGGTAGGCAATGTGCATGTGGGTAGAAGTGAGTACGGGTGGCCAAGGTGCTCTGGGTTCAGTCCTCAGGAGCTGCTGAGCGTGAGCCAGCCAGAGTTACTGACCGCACCCTGCCATGAGAAAACACTGCAAGGCTGCCATCGCCTCAGATCTGCCCTGCAGATTCTGCCTATGTACCACTGAGGAGGGACAACACCTATTTCTGTCCCAGCTGGGAAACATGACCGTGAATAATACGCTTTGCATATGTATTCCAGTTCAGACCATAAAGCAATAGTAGAGTTGCAGAGATGGTAGTTTGTTGATGAGAAAGCAAATCACAGACAACTATAGACTGGGACCCTGTCTTTAACTAACCACCAATGAAGGAAGGGTAATGAAAACTTTTTGTGGTGGTTCCTTCTGTAGTAGCGATTGTTTTGTTTCTATATGTGGAGGCACTGTTCAATCGCAATTCTCATGAATCTAGGCTTCACAGAGTTTTCTAATAGGTACAGCACTTGTTTACAAACTCAGCTGAGGTTTTACATAGCAAAAAGCAAAAGAGGAAACATTGCTCTGGCCATGAACATGTTTAAAAAATACTATTACAAGACCTCTGCAACATGAACCATTTGCTTATTAGACTAGAGGTGTCCAAATTTTTTTGGCATGGAGCTACTTTCATATTACTAGGCTAAAATGATCTACCTACTTCGATTATATTAAATATATTTACTCATATCAACTGAATATACTTTGTATATACACATTATGTTGAGGTACTTTGAATAAAAGCGTGTAGCTATCTAAATCTCATTAGGTTACTACAAGTACTCCCTTTTTGATCTCCCAATAGATCGCATGGGCTCCCCTGCGTTGGACAATAGTACATGCCTTTGAGTCAGTCATCATGTAGAGGTATGTCGCTACCAATTGGTTTTACAGGTTTCTGTTGCATACTACTTGTAATAATAATTTGAGCAAAAAAATCAATTGTCTCTCCTCAAGCAGAAAAACAACTCATTTTAAAGACCATCTCATTTTTCACCGCTGGCACTGGGCAGTTTTTTTAATATCAGTGGTATGTTTTGAAAAATACTGACTCTGTTATTTTTAAACAACCTGCCATTAACTGGAACATAATGTTAGCTCTCACACAGGTCTGTCTGTTATTCACGAACTGAGGGTTTGTTTGAAGCTGCGTTGTACAGTTGCACAAAGGAAGTTGGCGTTTTTAAATGAACAAAATTTTATGGCCATGTTTATTTTAGCAAAGTTAATGCAAGTCTGTCTGCACAGGTAAAACCTGAGATGATTGAGGATAAAAAAAGATAAGTATTTGGATAATGACCAAATGTTGTTTTGCATTTTTTTTGAGCTTTTCAGCACTAATCACATTTTATAATTTTCAATCTAATGGAGTGAATGAATGAAAAACTCTGGATACACACTAAATGAAAAAAATTGATTACACAATAGAAAACAACGTAAAAATGTATATTGAAAACCTATATGTATGAAACAGTCTCTAATTTACTGTAATAAAACCTGAGAATGAAATAGAATTCAACACATTAAGACAATATTTCACATTTGTCAGTCAAAAATATTGCACACAAGAAGATTCCATGGTGCTTCAGTCATTTTCCATCCAAATAGTTGTTATCAGTTAGTTTCTCATAGAAAGTGCAGCAGAGTTGGAGGCTTAGCCACAGATGTTTCAGATTTCCAGACCAGGATCCTCTGGTCCTTTCTTTTTAATATTGTCTCCCTGTTTATTTGCAACTTTTTAGTTTCTCTACTTAATTGCGTATGTATATAGTCTGGATACTCACAGTACTTCATTTATTCTAATGTATTCTAATGTTGTTCTATTTATTAATATTTCTCTATTAAACATATGTGGTACATTAAGTGGTGCAGGAAAGTCGGTAGAAGATTGCATGTTCACGGAGTAATAACTTAATAAATACTAAATAAGCTCTGACCAAGTGAAGTTCCTGTTACATCTTTGTTGGTGTTTAGTTTCTTCCGTCCACCCCCTTAGTTCCCGCTGAACTCCTCGGTTCATTTTTTTCACTCCATAAATCTGCTGGGTCATTTGTCCTTTTATCCAGGACACAACACTCAAGGCCAGGTCTGGTTTTGGTCCACTCCCCTCCTCCCTACTAATGTCATGTTCACTGCTACACAAGGATGTTTACAGGAAACCAGCTTGCTTTCTGTCCCATTTAAACACTACATAAATGACTTTACGGGAGGATGAGGCCGACCCTGCACAGAACTGTAATTTTGCACGAAAGCCTGTTAAAAAATAAAACAGATAATGTGAGTCATCTGCATTAGGACGCAAATACAGACGAGATTTGCAGTGTGACACAGAGTTCTCTTGATTTAATTAAGGTTGCTCTAACATGCTCCAAGGAGTTCTGTTGTTTGCAGATGTGTCATGTTGTACAGATGTTGTTAAACCCAAAAAACTGTTTAGGGCAATTATAAGCTGTGATCTGTAGTAGTTTGCTAAGTGTTTGAATACGCAGAGAAAAGTTGAGTCAAAGTTAGTTGTCATTGAACTATGAGATGAACCTTTTTGATTATATAATAGCAAGTAAAGTTTCACATTTAAAAAAATATTTATTATTATTATGATGATTGTTGCTGATGTTGTTGTTTTATTATAATTATTATTATCATAAATAAGACACAGTGCATAGTTCAGGGTTGTTAGTTTGTGTTAAAGTACATGAGCCTGTTAAAGAAACTTCCTCCCTTTCCGTTAGTTTAGTGTGTGTACTATAATTTGGATGTGACTCATAAAACATATAACTTTTCCATGTAGTCACAGTTAAAAAAAATAAATAAATACAAAGTTGTAATAAGGGAAGTGGGGAAAGGGTGAAACCAAATACAGAGTAAATTCATGAAAGCCTGAGTCAGACTGTTCGAGCCATTCTTTTCTGCTGTATCACACACTTCCAGGAAAACTGCCCCCTCCTCATCCTCACATCATTAATGACTTGGACGGGGCCAGAGGTATTTCATCGCTTAAACAGGCACATATGTGTGTGATTTGTCATGTAGTGCATGCAGTTTTTACATACATACAGAGGTTAGAGCTCCAGTGTTTGCATCCGACTGTGTTTTCCAGAGAGCGTCGTTCATTAAATGTCTTGTGTTCATATGTTTGGTTTGGTCACAAAACGGCCAAACTTTCTACTCATGCTTAACCAGGCTGTCCAAGCATATCAGAGGGGACGCCAACTGTGATGTATACAAGTCAGGAACAACAGTGCCCCCTTCAGTCTGCGTCTGAGCACCCCTCCCCAAAGACAGAGCCATACTGCACTTAAGGCTCGCACATGGCCACGCACACGCGACCTACAACACTGGCCCCTCCCCTATTTTAAAGATGGGTGGTTGCTCAACAAGCTCTCTGGCTGGTTGTAGACCCTGTCTCACACCCTTTCACTATAAACCCCGTCCCCTCACCCAGCTGAAACCCCGGCCGATCTCTGACCAAATGGCCCGAGGAAGGCGTCATGGGACTGAGCTTTCAGAGAGCTCTGTGGGCAAACGGCCAAACGAGAAACATATTTTATTCACAGTTTGCTTTTGGCTTCAGTCTTCCAAGAACACACACGGATGTACAGTGTTTTGTGTGTGTACATACTGTATGCATCCTCTGTCCCAGCTGCTTTAGTGGTCCATGTCATGTGACAGCATCATTTGGCTTTCCAGCAGTGATGGATATGTTGGATTGATCAGTTCAAATGATTGTGAAAGAGTTTGAATGCATTGAAGATTATGTTATGATGGATTTTCCTAAGGAGTAACACCCATGGTTCAGCACTTGAGCAATAGCTGCAGTACTTCATGTGCACATCTTAATCACCGTTTAAGTAAACAAACATAGTTACATGAAGTCTCAGATTTATTCTCCTACAAAAAAAGAGGAAAGTTGGTAAAACTGTATCAGATTTTACAACATTGTCTTGACGCTGGTGTTTTCTGGTCTTTGTGTCTGCTTCTATTGTGAAGATGGCGGGCGTCCCAATGTGAGCCCCTCTCCTCCCCATCTAGCCCCAGCCCAAAGTCTGGAACGGATTACATCTGATATTAAACACATGGCAGCAGTTAGAAAGCAGAAAAGGCGAGAGAAGAAAAAAGTTTCTTTTTTTTAAGAAAAAAACAAAAAAAAAAACAGTCGATTTGTCAACGAGCTCCCTCCTCCCTCGGTCCACTTTTTTTTCTCTTTGTCTAATTTTCTTTTCACTTTCTGGTTTCTCCTGAGTGTACGTGAATAATGTTATGTCCCCTTGTCACTGCAGCTTTAAAGGCTAGAGACAATAATGTTGAATGTCAGTTCACTTTGAATCCAACAAATACAAAGTTAATGTCTTCAACAGTTCAATGTAACACATGACCGTTCATGAAACTGTGATGTTAACAAGTCACTTGTTGAGACGTTTGTCAGCTCAGAAGTATGTAATTGTATCATGAAAATACTTAAGGAGATCTATTTTCATGGCAGAGGTTAATACTCTTACACTCATGCCTTGTCCTCCATCTCCCTTGAGAGATGTTGCATAACCTAGTGGATAATGAGACAAGAGACTCAGATGCTATCAGGAGAAACCCAGGTCCCCCCACTGTCCCGTTGCGTTGTTGACGTAGTTCTCAGCAGCCTGGAGGAATGAGGAAGTATTTAAGCTACATTGAGAACATTCCTTATCTTCTTTTCACTAATTTCTGCTTATTCCTGTTGGGCGTCCCATAGGGGAGTCGCCATACTCAGCAGTGGACTCTTGTGCCTTCCATCACGTCCATGCTTGTTGTCATTTGGTGTTGACTTTCTCAGAAAAAAAAGCAAAAACAAAGAGAAACTGTTTTTGACTGTTAGCTGGTTATAAATGTCCTGCATTCCACCAGAAGCAAATTCAATATCTTCCAGAAAATATGTATTGTTAACTTTGTGTGTTACCGTAACAACCGTTATATATGTGCAAATACATCACTGTTTTTAGATTGCTGTCACAGTTTTTTTTTCTGCAATAGTTAATTTCTCATTTCAGTTGTTTATTTATTTGATTGACCTGCAGTATTTCATAGTAACTTTTTTCTTTAAACTCAAAAGATATACTTCTTATTTTGTCTTATTCTGTGTTGTTGGGAGTTTTTTTTTTCATGATGACATGATTGTTCTCCTTCTCAGGTCACCTGTAGCACAGTCCCTGTGGGAGGCCATGCTGACCAGTAAACATAAAGAGGGAGTGATGGAGGTCCGAAGACATTTGGTGGAAGCGGCCAGTAAAGAGAAGCTGCCCATCAAGATGACTATGGGTATGAAACAGAACGACATATGTTTAGAAAAACACAAACCTGTTCGCAACAAGTGCTATGTTTAGTGAACATGTGAGTCAATCTCTGAGTTCCTGGAGAGAAGGTTGATTGAGTGTTGTGGGCTTTTGGTGGAGAGCTCTAGCGCCTCCTACCGAGATTTGTACTCTCTTCAGCAAATTTGCCTATGTGGCCACAGAGGAAATCCGAACCACATGTTGGCTCTCTGACACACTTTCAAACGCACGCACACATACACATGTTCTCTTTGCACACATGCTGCTTACGAAAACTTTTGTTGTCAGTTAATGGAGCGGGGGGCTGCATTCAAGGATAAAAATATGTGTAGGCACGCGAAAATAAAGTCATTGCATGCACAAGTATACAGTGGCCTCATGCTTGTTCACCTTTAAGATTCTCCATGAGTCACAGATGTACTGTTTTTTCATACACAAACACACACACTCAGTTAATGTGCAGGTTAGCATCTGGCAGAGAGAGGATGTTAAGAGGGAGGGGCTGTGCGGTTCCCTTTGCTCCTATAATCTGAGAGAGGGTAAGGAAGGTCTTGTTTCTCTTAACAAGCACGTTGTAATATGTTTGAGGTCACACACGTATGCACACACACACCTCAAACACTCATGCCAAGCAACT